TAGTCTCGCGAGTTTGTTTATAGGAGCAAAGGAAGCAAAGTTTCCTTACTTTAGCAAAGGAAAACCAGTCTCCTTTTGGTTTATATCGAAATCCTCCGACATTTTTCTTTGCAAATCTTCGGTTTGTACTTCTAATTTGTGACCGGCGTTTTGTTTTGTTGTCTCTCCTCGTTCGTCACTAATCATGCAACACCGACGTCCTGCGTCATCCACCGGAATGGCTTCCGTGTATGACAGTCAGCGGAAGTGATATAAAAGTGTTTATTACGTTTGAAATATGGATATTTTTCTTACAAAAACGCATGGATTCACTATAAAAGGCCTTTATTCATGCCCCGGAGCCGTGTGAGGCACGTTTTATTATGGATGCGCACGCTTTATTTGATGACTTGTGGACTGTTCAACTGCAACACCCACTCACTGCAATGATAGAGCTTGGAATAGCCGCGACAATTTTTTATATAACTTCAACTGGATTCGTCTGAAAGAAGAAAGTCATATACGCCTAGGATGCTTCGAGGGTGAGTAAAACACAAGCCAATTTTAATTTTTGGGTGAACTAACCCTATAAATCTATAGGGGTGGTTGGATTTATTCACGCACGTTAAAATATTTTTTTGAAGCTTCTTTCTTTTCAGATTCTTATTTACAGCATTATTTTAATAGGCTGTATATTAACTTATTAGGAGAAAACTGGTAGTTCTATGTGAAATCAGCACCCCCATTGACTGTAGTAATAATAATGCAAAAACTGACGCTTCAAATCAACATTTCAAACAAAAAAAAATCTAAACCTTTACCAAAAGTTGTCTTTGAGAATGTCTAAATATATATATATTAACTTAATAAAAATAAGTATTTATGTCTAAAATCAACTAGAGAATTTATAGGCCTTTTATATAGAGCTATATAGGAATCTAGTGGCTGAACCATGGAATTGCAGATGTTTTTCTTATTTTAGTCCCACCAGATGGCACTAATCATCTGGGGGGGGTTAAATTTCAGGTGTCCGGTCACTTTTGACCGCGAAGACCACAAGTGTGACTCCGAAATAAGGAGCACCAGAGGGTTAAGTCAGTATGTATTATTTTATTAAATTATGAACATAATTATGTAATATAGTCTACATGAAAAATATAATTTTAATATAGTCTATTATTTAGTGAATTTAATATTATGAAAATAATTTGTTAAACAATTCATATTTAATATGTTTTTAAATAATGAAATGATTAATTATTTGATATTGTCTACATAGTAGTATAATTATATAATATAGTGAGACTGTATAAAATAAGTCTCAGTCTCACTTCGTAAGACATCTTGGAGGAACTTTTTCAGTGAACTTGTCGCAGTCCATTATTCTGTTCTTTTCTACATGAAGGATGCATTCGAATCTGGTCAAAACAAGGTATCTTATGAGACAGCAGCAAATCTGTTTGGAACAGCTTTCACGCTGGAAGTCTATGATGCCTTAAAGTGCTGTCTAGGTAGGCGGCTTACAGGGTTTTGCAACAGAACCATAATGGAATTCACAGTCACACAGTTTGTGCACAAATATATTATGCTGGGTTGAACATAAATGTTGTGCCAAAAAGTGTCGTTTTTAAATTCTGTGCTCTTGTTTTGTCTCACACACACAGCAAACCGTACCTGTTCTCCTCAGGAGTTCACCTGTATAAATAACAGGCCTCCTCAGAGGAAGTGTATCCCACGGGACTGGGTGTGTGACGGAGATGCAGATTGTTCGGACGCATACGATGAGCACCAGAACTGCACTCGCAGATCCTGCTCTGCCAACGAATTCACCTGTAACAACGGCCTCTGCATCCGCAACTCCTACAGGTTAGAATTATATTTAGAGCAAAAAAGTTTGCAGATGCATTGTTTTTTATGGCTGATTTTTTTTTTTTTTTTTTTTCTTAAATATATT